GAAGTGCTCTATACTGAAATCCTCAATATCAAAGCCCTCCACTAAACATTAAATGTCCACCAAAGCCTCTTTGGTTCCGGAGCCTTCTCTGCCTAAAAGACCTAAACAGGATAAATCTAAAGCTGCAGTCATCTCTCAGCAGCCTCAACAAACCGCTGAATCAATCTCTATTGGTTCGCCTTCTGATGATGATGAAATTCCCTCTCATCAACCCTGCTCCCAATCACCAGAATGGGATGACAGTGTTGATCGATTAACATCTTCTCCTCCCAGTTCTCAACGCTCTGTTCTTTCGACCAACCATTCCGTAGTTGCTTCACTTGACACAGTCGACTCCAAACAGCAATTAGACACCATACCTTATTTGGTAACATCAGATCGTCCAACTACTCCAGTACACATCTCGATGCTTCCATCTCTACTCAGCACCGCTCAACAATCCTGGACGAAACCAGCCTCTTCCCACACCATGTCTAAAGAAATCAATAACCTCTACAGAGTCCATGAGCCTGGAGCTCTATTTCTTCAAAAACAACCAGCTCCAAACTCTATTTTTGTCGAAGCCTCACAATCCAGATCTTGACATCGACAAACCCTCATACCACTAAATAAAGACAGTAGAAGGATTGACTCAATGGGAAGATGGCTTTATTCATCAGCAGCATTGACCATGCATGTCGCTAACTACCTGGGAGCCATGGGTGCATATCAACATTTCCTTTGGACAATATGTCAACCTTTGTCAAATCTTTACCAGAAGATAAAAAAGTACTTACCCATACCTTTCAACAAGAAGGTCTTTCTGTTGCCAAACAACAGATGCTTTCTTCTGGGCACACGGTAGATGCCACAGCAAAGTCAATGGCCACTTCAGTAGCCTTACAATGTTCCTCTTGGCTAAGGACAGCGGGCCTGGCTGAGGATGCCCGCGCACGTATCAAAGACCTTCCATTCGACGGGGCAGGCCTCTTTAATGCTGAAACCGATGATATTTTGGAAAACGTGTAAAAGAAAAGATCAGCAGCTAGACGTTGGGGAGTTTATCCAGCTTACCAACAACAACACCAACAAAATCAGTGGAGACGAACGACCGTACAACCGATATCAAAAATTCCAACGTGATCCTCCAAAACAAACATCTTTTTTGCCCTATTTCAGAATTCAAAGAAATAAACTCTGCCAACAACCCATTACTAGGTGCAACATTCGCAAGCCCAAACATCATGTTTGACCGAGATCGCACACCACTCCACTCATCCTGCCCTCTGGAAACAGCTACCTGTCTGGGTATCCATCACTATAGATGCCTGGGTACTGTCCATCATCCACGACGGCTACCACATTCATTTCTTCCAGCTTCCTCAGGCAACACACATCATCAATCCACCATCTCCAACCCTCCAAGAGGAAATAAAAAATTTACTCCTCAAAGACGCCATACAACCCATCTCACAACACAACAAAGGTTTTTTCTCTAGCTATTTCACCGTACCCAAAAAGGACGGAGGTCTTCGCCCTATCTTAGACCTACGAGAGTTAAACAAATACATCATTACCGCAAAATTCTGTATGGTTACCCTCAAATCAGTTCTCCCTTTACTCCACAAAAATGGAGCATATTTCCATACATCCTTCACACAGAAAATTCCTTCAATTTCAGCTAGGATCACAAGCCAACCCATTGCAAAGGCTTCCTTTTGGCCTTGCAACAGCTCCAAGAGTATTCACCAAGTGCATTGGACCGGTAGCTGCTTATCTCAGGTTGCATAAAATCTCATATTTCCATATATCAACGATTGGCTCCTCATAGCTCATTCCCGTCACAAGGCCCAATGAGACACTCACTTCGCCCTTACCCTCCTTCACAATCTCGGTCTTGCTGTCAACAAACAAAAATCAAAATTGAAATCTACAAAGATTGTTCATTATGTAGGTACATGCATATATTCCACACAAGCTCACACCTTTCTTCTTCCAGACTAGATAAAATCTCATTGCATTACTTCAAGTTTTCACCCCTCATGCTATGGTACCTGCCTTGACTGTGCAACATGTACTAGGCACCATGGCCTCTATGACTTCAGTAGTGGAGCACATATGTCTCAAGATGAGATCTCTTCAGTTGTGGTTTCTCGTCGTAATCAACCACTCCTCACACTCTTTTAAGGGTCACCCCAGAACTCACCTCCCAACTTCAGTGATGGCGTTTTCCTCCCAACCTATCCATCAGGTGGCCGTTCCAACAACCATGACCACAAATACAGGTCACCACCGACGCCAGCCTCAGAGGCTGGGGAGCTCACTGCAAATCTCTCAAAATCCACACCAAGTGGTCTTCCAGAGAGAAATTTCTTCACATCAACAAATTAGAGCTGTTGGCGGTTATAAAAGCTTGCAAAGCTTTCAGAAATTTCCTCACTGGCAAGATGGTACAAATTGCCACCGACAACACCATGGCGATGTATTATATTCTGAAACAAAGTGGCACCCACTGTCCAAGTATCCTCTATTTAGCGGTCGACCTCTGGGAGTGGTGCCTAGCACATCATATCTGCCTCACAGCTTTACACATTGCTGGCCACGAGAATGACTTGGCCAATCTACTCAGCCACACAAACATTCAAGCTCACGAATGGGAGTTAAATCAGTCAGTTTTTCCTCGCCTATGCGAACGATGGAGCAAACCAACTGTTGACCTCTTCATGTCCCATGTGAATCAGAAGTGCAAATGATACTGCTCCTGAGCCGGCATTGGCAAACACTCTCAAGAAGATGCATTTGTCGGCCAATGGCCCAAGACCCTCACTTATCTTTTTCCTCCATTCCCGCTTCTCCACAAGGTTGTGGTTCACCTACAACAAGACAAACTCAATGCCATCATTATAGCCCCTTGGTGGCTGAGACAACCCTGGTTTCAAGTTCTTCACAATTTCTCATCAGACATTCACCACCTCCCTCACCTGCCCCACCTCCTCACGCAGAACAGCGCCCAAGTACTCCACCCAGACTTACCTGTTAGCCACCTGGCAGCATGAAGGATTCTGCCTTGCTAATGAATGTCCGCCGTCAATCAAATAAGCTCTCCACTAGAAAGGCTTACCTGTATACAGTGGTGCCCCACATAGCAACGATAATCCGTTCCGAAAAAATCATCGCTATACGGATTCGTCGCTATGCGGGGCAAAAAAGCCCATAGGAACACATTAAAACATGTTTAATGCATTCCTGTGGGGAAAAAACTCACAGTACTGTGGAAATCCTCCATGCGGCCACCATTTTCACTGCCCGGTAAGCGAGGAAAGGGAGAGAAAACACAGCGGGTGGCCATTTTCTTTATCCAGCGGCCATTTTCGACCTGCCGATCAGCTGTTCCAAAAACATCGTTATGTAATAATCGGTAGGCAAAATGCTTACCGATCATCACAAAGCGATGTTTTAACATCTAAAACATTGTTTTGTGATCGCAAAAACTCAATCGCTATGCGGATTCGTCGTTAAACGAATTGCTCGTTATGCGGGGCACCACTGTATATGAAACAGAGTAAAATCTTATTAAAATCTTTCATGGAAGCTTCTTCATTGCCTCCCATCAACCCATCACTTGCTACTGTTCTACGATTTTTGCTTCATCTCAAGTCTAGTGGCCTTTCCCTCTCTCCCTTGAGAGTTTACCTCTCCGCCATTGTTTCTTGTCAGCCCCCTAACTATCTGGCAGCTGATTTCTTCAAGCATCCAACATTGAAACGTTTTCTTAAAGGTCTATCTCATATCTACCCAGATACCCGCCTGCCTTTCCCGCAATGGTCACTAACATTAGTACTGCAACAACTTACTAAAGCTCCTTTCAAACGTGTAGCTTCAACTGATTTACGGCTACTTACCTTTAAAGCAGTTTTCCTCATCACCATCACCTCAGCTTGATGAGCTAGTGAGTTAGCGGCCTTACATCACAACTATCCTTATTTACATTTTTTCCAGACAAAGTCAAACTATCCATGTATATTTCTTTTCTCCCCAAAGTCGTATCTCAATTCCGTCTCTCTCAACCATTTATTCTTTCTTCTTCCCGTCATCATCCACAACTCAAGAAAGACTACTCCATACTTTAGACGTTAGGCGAGCCCTTGCCTTTTACGTCCAACACACCCAACCTTTCAGGTGTTCACCTTAACTTTTCATAAGTCACCAACCACCTACTAAAGGTCATCAGGTGACGTCTCAAACTATATCTAGATGGGTCACTTCAACCATTCACGTTGCGTGTCAGCTGGCATGCAAACCAGTCCCGAAGGTGATTCGCCCTCACTCCACCAGAGCAGTGGCAGCCTCTATAGCATTCCTACGTGGCATACCTCTTCCAGATGTCTGTGCCTCTGCCACCTGGGCACAGCTGTCCACTTTCATCTGGCATTATAGACTTGATCACTGGCAGAAGTCTGATGTGGCCTTTGGACATGCTGTTCTAGCCTCTACCTTGGCGTGATATCCTGCCTCCAGGTAAGACAGGTTTTTATTCACCCAGGGCGTAATTCACAGAGGCCACGAAAAAGAACGACAGGTTACCCACCTGTAATTGTAGTTCTTCAAGTGGACCTCTGTGATTCACGCATCCTGCCCATCCTCCCCACTGTAACGCCATTCTGCTTAATGTAGCGGCGGTTGACACAACTGAAAGGGGAGCCTTGGCACCAAGGTACTTATATGAGGGGAGAGGGGCCTTATTATAATATGTTTTTTGCTACTGTGTAAGCTCTAGAAATTTCCGATGAAGCTCAGTGCCTGCGCGGATCACCCAGGGTGTGAATCACAGAGGTCCACTCGAAGAACTACACTTACAGGTGGGTAACCTGTAAATCTTCTCTGCCAGTTCTAGATCTGTTGGAGCAATTGATGTGATGTTTTTTCACAACTCAGCCAATTACTTGAGCAGATCTTACTAGCAAACTTACAGATTGTGGTATTGGAAACTAGATCCTAATTTTTGGTTTCTTCCTTTCCAGTTTTTCAAAGCATTCTCTAAGAAACCTGATGATGGCATAAGACTCTTCCGTATGTATCCTGAAGTTAATTCCTTCTTAAGTTTGAACTGTTGTTACCAGTTTGGTTTGTTTAACTGTGGAAAACACCTTATAATATAGGTGGGCTGCAATCTGGAAGCATTTCATTTAAAAGTTTAAATAAAATAAAATAAATTAGTCTTTAACATGTGACAAAATTGTTGGTTTTGCTTGAAATTCAGATGGGTCATGGAAACATATGTTTTAGTCCTGAGTAATTTTTAAAAAGACAAAATGTAGTTTGGCTTTGTCAATGGGCCAACATTTATGTACGTGATTACTCAAAATGATGTATCGTTTGCATTTGTTTTGAAAAATATGAGCATCGACTAGCAAACAGGTAGGCCTTATACTTCCAGCTAGAGTGCCAGGCCATTTGTGATCTCTCTAGACATATTTGATACCACAGGCTAGAGGTGTGCATCTTAAAATTTGTGGAAGAACACCCTCCCTGCAATAGTTGTGAGCTGCTTATGCACAGATGTTATTCACATTCATAGCCATTTTGGCTCTCTTTCTTTCTCCCTCTGTATTGTGGGAGGAGAAGTGGACAGGCATCAGATAATGAAAGCGCAAACCCAAATGAATAGGCAAAGCCTAAAACTGGGGATGTTGCTGTTGTTATGTGCCATCTCCAACGTATGGCAGTCCTATGAATGAGTGATCTCCAAAATGTCGTATCCTCAAGAGGGTCTTGTAAACTTAAACCTGTGGCTTCTGTTAAGGAGCCAATCCTACTCGTATTTGATCTTCCTCTTTTCCTGCTGCCTTCCATCTTGCCCAGTGTTACTGTCTTCCAGAGAATCCTGCTTTCTCATGATGTGCCCAAAGTAAGGCAGCCTCAGCTTCAACATTTTTGCCTCCAGAGATAGTTCAGACTGGATTTGCTTTTGTCTGTCTGTCTGTCTGTCTGTCTGTCTGTCTGTCTGGCAGTCCAGAGTATCCACAAAACTTTCCTGCAGGAACACATTTCAAACAAATCAATTTTTTCCACTGTCATCTTTCTTTACTGTCCAGCTTTCACACTCATACATGGTGATGAGAAATACAAGAGATGATTTTGGTCTCTCTTGACATATCCTTACACTTGGTGCTGCCCTTCAGGGTCTGTCTTCTTCTGATTCCTTAGCTGCAGTCTCCCTTTGGATTGATGATTGGACCAAGATATACAGTGTGCATGGCTCTTGTGCTCCCCATCTTATCTTCTCAGTAATTGTTTCCCCTTCCTTTTTGAAGAGTGCTGTCTCCACTTTGATTCAGATGCAGCAATTAGGGAGGAAAAGAAAAAGAAGGTTCAGCAGTGGCATGTTGATGGACATGCAGGTGACTAGGCCAGAAGCAGGGAAGTCAAATGAGCTGATTCTGGATTTGTTGGTCTGTTATTTTACATCCTTGCTTTCTCACTTCTCTTTTCCCTGCCTCATAATAAACATATGAAGAAGATAAGACTGAAAGAAACTTTCTCATGGTTGTTAGGTCTTTAAGAAGAAGAAATGTAATTGGCAGTTGGTTAGTGCAGGTGGAGTTATTTGGTCACTGCCTACATGACAAGAAGGACTGGTGAATGTCTGAGCTGGTGAGTGATCACCTAAAGAACTTAAGAGAGGCTTGAGTGCTTGAAGACTATCATCGAGTATGGCAGAGACCGCTGTGGTAAGCTACCCTATCCCAATGTTGAAAGAAGGGAAGTATTTGTTGTGGGCTTATCGAATGGAACTACAGTGGTGCCCCGCATAATGAGCTCTTCGTTTAATGACTAATCCACATAGCAATGTGTTTTTTGCGATCGCAAAGGCGACCGCATTGCGATGTTTTAAATGGTAAAACATCGCTTTGCGATGATTGGTAAGCGTTTCGCTTACCGATTTTCGCATAGCAATGTTTTTTCTAACAGCTGATCGGCGGTTCCAAAATGGCCGCCGGGTAAATAAAATGGCCGCCTGTTGTGTTTTTGCCCAGATTCCTCGCTTACCGGGCAGTGAAAATGGCAGTTGCATGGAGGATTTTCGCATAACGGTGAGTTTTAAGCCCATAGGAACGCATTGAAGGGGTTTCAGTGCATTCCTATGGGCTTCTTTGTTCCACATAGCAACGAATCCGTATAGCTATGATTTTTTCGGAATGGATTATCGTCGCTATGCGGGGCACCACTGTATATTTAAAGAAAGCAGCATTGTGGGGAATAGTAAATAACCCCCTTGCTCAGCCCACTGAAGAACAGGAATGGGAGAATGAAAAAGCACTGGCTTCAATCGGGCTCAGTTTGGCAGATGAGCGTTTATGTTTATCATGTTTGAGGGGAAATCTCGGCTGCCAGATACTGGAGAGGCTTGCATGAAGTTCATATAAGAACTACAGCAAGTTCAGAAGTACATTTATGTAGAAGGCTGTACAGAACTATTTTAAAAGAAGGAGAAGATATGAAGGAACATCTTAAAACTCTGCAGGAGTTGTTCCGCAGCTTAATTATATATTTACGGAAGAACAAAAGAGCTATTTAATTCTAAGCAGTCTACCTCCTTCATATGATAATTTGGTGACTTTACTGGAAACTATGCCTGTTGCCGAGTTAACTCCTCAATACCTGGTGGGTCAGAGGAAGCAAAAAGATGAGCTGAAAGAGCAGAGGTGGAGTTTTTCCCTGAGGCAGTTAGAACAAGGAAGACTGCCAGCCAGGAAAGCGGAAAGAACCAAGGAAAAGATAGACTAAATGTCCTAAAATGTTGCTTTGAATGTGGAGCTTTAATGCACCGTTGTCTTGACTGCAAAGCCAAGCACAGAGAGACTGGCAAACAAGATTCCTCCTAGTCCCACCTGCACAGGAGGAGGGGCGGAGAGAAGCTCTCCATTGTAAATGTTAGAAACCAGAAGAGGAAAGATGGATCTTAGACTCTGGTGCTTCTACACATGTATCCTGTAAAAGTCCTGCTAATTTTTCTTCCTTTCACAGGTCTGAGAAAGAGTCAGAGTGCCTTGCTGATGGTAAATCTCTGGGGAAGCAAATTTATATACAGTACAGAATGCATGGGGAAAACTTGTAGAAACGTACTATGTATTCCTAACCTTTCTTATAATCTCTTTATCTGTTGCAACTTTAGACAGAGAGAATTATAACATACAATTTGAGAAAGGAACATGTAAAGTAATAAAGGAAGAAAAGATATGTGCAAAAGATACTTTAAGAAATGGGCTTTATGAAATGCAGCTGACGGAAAGGCAGAAAGAGGAGGGGTTAATCAGAAAGAAAGCTGGAAAAGGAGGGGGAAACCCAAAAGGCTAATGCAGTAAATATGCCTGCACATTTAAACTGTGTTCATGATTGGCATAAGAGAATGGGGCATTTGAATTACAAAACATTACAAAAGATGCCAATGTATGATGAAGGTATTAAAATGACTCAGTATGTCACATTACTAAAACTAAAGCAAAGTCTATTCCAAAAATTAGTGATAGGATTTCAGAATCACCACTACAGATATTCACTTTGGACCGGAAAAAGAAAGTTAAGTTAAAATCATAGGTAGTTGATTTTTGCACCATTGAATATAGACAAATTGGGCAATACACCCTGTAATTTATAGTTTCCTAGCTCAGTTTTTTCTGGGTAAGTCTCAATGCTTATCAGCACCCCCTCATATCAGCCTGTACATATTTGTCTTGTAAAACAGGAGCCTTCCTGCCATGCAGACATATTGTCTTTACCAGGAAAAGAAAGAGAGGACTGGTTGGAAGCCAGAGTTAAATTCTATGAAACGGTTGAAAGTATGTAAAGAGACCCAGCTTCCACCAGGGGAGAAAGCAATTGGCTGTAGATAGGTATTTAAAAGGAAGCCACTTACAGAAGGAAGTTTCAAGTGTAAAGCTAGGTTAGCTGCTAAAGGTTTTTTGCAACAAAAATACATCCATTATGATGAAACTTTTTCTCCTACCATTCAAGCAGACAGCATTAGAATACAGTGGTGCCTCGCAAGACGAACGCGTCATGGGATGAAAAATCGCAAGACAAACAGGTCTTGTGAGTTTTTTGGTGCCGCATTAATTAAATTTCAATGCATTCCTATGGGAAAACTTGCTTCGCAAAATGAAATATTCGCAAGATGGCATTAACCATGGAAGGGATTAATTTCATCTTGTGAGGCAGCACTGTATGCCTTGCTGTTGCTGCTCAGAGAAAATATGTAATTTCTCACTGTGACATTTAAACTGCATATCTAAACTCAGAACTTTCTAAGACAATTTACATGGCTATTCCACCTGGTGTGAAGGTTAAACATAGTAATAATGTGTTACATAAGGCACTTTATGGTCTTCATCAATCTGGACGACATTGGAATAAATGTCTGGATTCGGCATTGCAAAAATTAGGTTTTTTGAGTACAAAAGCAGATCACTGTGTTTATACCAGAGGAAATGAAATCCTGATTATTTTTGTTGATGATTTAGCTTTCATTGGCCCTAATCAAAAAGCAGTAAATACTTTTGAGCAGGAGATAGCTGATAAATTTGTTATCAAGAGACTAAGAAAGATCAAAACGTATGTTGGTATAAACATTGAGCACTTGCCAGGAGGAGGTTTTGCTTTATACCAAAATAATAAAATTGCCTCATTATTAGATGCACAAAATATAAGTAAGTGTAACCCTGTTACAGGGTATTTTGCTGAGGGTGGACAGGAAAGTCCTTCATTTGATGTTGAGAAATATCAATCAGTTGTAGGATCCTTGCAATATCTAGCATTAACTACGAGACCAGATATTTTGTTCTCTGTGAATTTGGTCAGCAGATATTGTGCAAAACCTACTGAGAAGCACTGAAATGCAGTAAAACATATATTGAGATATTTGAAAGGTACAATGAACTATGCATTATTGATAACTCCTTCAGAAGAACAAGAATTAAAATTTTATGCAGACAGAGATTTTGCTAGCTCTATCGAGGTCAGAAAATCCACATGTGGATACATAGCTAAATATGCTAATACTTTAATTCCGTTGAAGACTAAGAAACAATGTTGTGTGAGTCTCAGCACTTCTGAATCTGAGTTCATAGCCTTATCAGAAGTTTGCAGTAATTTAATTTATTATGTAACATCGTTGAAGGAACTGAACGTGCAGATAGATGGACCTATAACTGTGATGGAGCACAATACAGCCTGTATAGAGATAGCTACATCAGAGAAAGTAAAAGGCAGGTCAAAGCATAGTGACATTAGATTTTGCCATGTTAGAGAGGCTGTAAAAGCAAAACAAATAAAATTGCAATATTGTCCATCATGAGAAAACCAAGCTGATGTTTTCAGGAAGCCTCTTACATTCCAGAAGCATAAAGAAGCAGTAGAGGCACTTGGTGTTAAAGATATTAATATAATGAAATAAATGTATGCTAATGCAATTGTTAATTAAGGAGGGGACTATTAGGTCTTTAAGAAGGAGAAATGTATTTAACAATTGGTGTGTGCAGGTGGAGTTATTTAGTCTACGTGACAAGAAGGACATAGCCATGTGGAATTAGCTACCATGAGGTGAACCACTGATTGGTTGGAGTTAGTATAAATTAAGAGGCTGGTTAGTGTGCCCTTCACAGTTCTATTTTGACTGTCATGCTTACGTCCTGTCTGTTTGACTGCTAAATGTCTGTGTTTATGTTCCTGTGAGCACTATATAAATATGTACAGCAAGTCAATATTCTCTGCACTTTTTCCTGGTGTCTTCCTGTGTGCCTTACTACCCTGGAACTTCTGGTCCAAACCTTTGTAAGGAGAAGAGCTTCTACTGTGATTTTAAACTGCTAACAATGGTCACTTGGCATGTTGCATGGCTCACAGATGACTTCGGCCTGGATTTCCTGGTCTGTAACCCAGCACTCTGACCACTGCATAACATTGGGTCTCCCCCAGCCTCATCTCAGCACCTGCACGTATTCTCCCACCGAGGCACATATTTCAGCATTTACATACATATTCCTGGTCCTCCCCAGTGTCTCAGTCTGCCTCTCTAATGAGCTCAGGTGGGGTTGGAAGAGTCTTTCACCTTCTCCCCAATCTTTGCTGATCTTCACTGAAATTGTTGTATGTGTGTAGGCTAAAACCATTCTCCACTTTAGTGGGATGGTTTTCCATCTGAAGTTTAAAATAGCTTTTCCCATTATGCTAACAGCAGTGCCAAAACAGGATTTTTACTTTTGCTGACCAGTCAAAAAAGTGGTCTGTTCCCTCCTGTGATTGGCACTTTTCAAACACCAGTTTCAAGCCTTGCCTCTTCTATAGGGTGTCAGTCTAATAAACAGACCTGCCGGGTTCTCTCTTCCTGCCCTCCTTTTCCCTCCAGATGCTCTGGACACATGGGATAGTTGTCTGATTATAAAGTGCCATTGACTCGGGTCCAAAGTAAAGCCCTCTCTAATCTGATCACACTTTTAAAAATATTTTTGCCTGTAATCTTAGCCGCAAAGTCTTCCCCATAGGATCACTGACTTTTTCTTTCTCTCTCAGTCTTCCTTTTCTTCTCCTGTTGTTCCAAAATGCATCTACATGTCAGACTATGAAATAAGCAAATTTTTTTGGTCTTAAATGGATGGATGTGATCTGACCTTTTCATTTCTACAAGTCATCTCAGCATTAGAAAGAGAAAAAAGCAAACCCCCTGGAAATCTTGGCTTACAGATACAAACACTCTGTGGTTTGTTTTCCACGAATACTATGTAGTTGAGATCCATGCAGCCTCCCTTGAATCTGTAACAGGATGAGATGCTGCTTCTTGAAGTTCCTTATCCTTCAACTAAGCCTGTGAATCTAAAGGCTAGCACATAAGGTATACTCCCTTAACAAACCAAAGAGGCATGAAGGGAGGATCACATACATATTTGCTCTTTGCTGCTTGAAGAGATTCATTGTTAGAGAGTTTGAGAACTTCGTGTTCAAGGAATGAATCACATTCTCTGCAGTGGGAATTCCCAATTGGAAAGGAAAGTCTCAGGTTGCCCTTTGAGGAAGAGCTACTACATGTCTGGAATGAACCACGCCCAAATTAAATTGGGAGTGGTTCTCCTTCCAGATCTAAGGATATATTATTGCAGCTTGGCGCAATCATTTTCTTGTATCCAGGCAACATTTATTTATTTTCCTCCACATTATTAAATTGCACCTCACTGGGAAGGGATCATTGTATGGAACCTGCTGTGGGTTGTGAACAAGAGCTGCTGCTGCTAAAAAGCAGACAGTGGCTGGAGATCCCATAGTCTTCCTTCCTACTCCTCCAAGTCTGTGAGTGACATCTCAGTAAGCAACAGGTAGAATTCCCAAACGTGGGTTCTCAGATATTGATGATCTCCAACTCTAAGAAGCCCTGATCATTACCCCAGTTGACTGGGGCTTCTGGGAGTTGAAAGCCAACAATATGTGGGGGGAATCTGCGTTTGCATACCACTTATCTAGAGAGGGAAGCTGCTCACTTTCTGACCTTCTGTTGAATATTTAACCCAGCCAGCCAGGAGAGAGATGTTTGGAATTGACCCCTGAGAAACCTTTTTTTGCATTCTTTGATGACATAGATTCTCATGTTCTCCCCAAATCTGATGAACTGACGATGAAGGCAAATACGAATAGGGTTAAGAAGGTAGCTTGATCTTAAACTTAGAAGGCTACATTTTAAGTACAAAAGAACACTTCCATATAACGATATTTAGAAATCTGGTATGGAACAATCTGCTGTTGGTAAACTCTTTCTGCAGTGTCAGCTGAGGGGCGCGGGGGGGAAGTATGTTGGGTTGTGCATATTGGCTGCCCAGGGGTCTAATTATGATAATTCTTTTTCCTGTACAGATCATGGCGATGACATTCGGAGCCTCAGGGAGTCCATCATCACCACAATGGAAAGACATGAAGAGGTGTGGCCTCCAACCTGCCCACCTCTGGAGCCAATCAGGTAACTAAGAAGGAGAGTACAAAGTGGAATGTACTATTTTAGTACATTCAGCATATGCATGTCCATGCTTATATGAATAAATAATGCCCTGGGAGGAGATGATGCCATATGTTTGCCCATTGCAGTAAGTTATTTAAAGTAAATTTTTATTTATGTTTTAAACACATCCAATAACAGTCTGCATCAAATTGAACTCATGCCTTAATATTAGTGGGCAGTGTTGTAGGTATACTTTCCCAGAGAGTTTTACCCCTTTAATGATAATACAGGTAGTAAGCCTAGCATTTACATACTTTGAGATGCTCAAAATGCTGTGAATGACAGTAATATTTCTAGGAATTCTTTAAGGTAGATCCAAATGATCATTCCCATATTCTAAAAGCTAATTCTCTAGTCTAAAATCATTAGTGTGGAGTGCAACTGGGGTTGATGACAGAAAAAGAGAGAGATATGTATCATTGGATAACTGTGAGAAAATGCAGCATATGCACATACTTCAGCCAGCACTCTACTGGCGAGTGGTCACCCTGTGCTCGACTTATGAGCACTTCTGTGATTAAAAATCATAACTCAGGAATTTGTCCTTGCCAGGGAAGCCAATCTTGGCTTTAGTTATAAATCTGTACAAGTAGCCATAGCAAGAGCAGTTGCATCTCTTGATTACGCTTAGGGTAAGCTAGGTCCAGAAGCACTTTGTGTATTGAATATATGCTGTAAATGATTTATATCTGTAATTTCTGTTCCTGATACTGTCCTCCATAACATGGTATTGTAAAAGATTATTCATTAGAACAAGCATTAATAAGCATGATAGTCTAGTGTACAAAAACATGTCAACACATTTGATGCCCAATCAGGGCACCAACTGAAGACCAACGTTAAATCATTTGGCTCTATTTTATTTATTTATTTATTTATTGGACTTATATACCGCCCCATAGTGCTACAAGCACTCTCCGGGCGGTTTACAATTTTTAATTATACAGGCTACACATTGCCCCCCCCAGCAAGCTGGGTACTCATTTTACCGACCTCGGAAGGATGGAAGGCTTGAGCCGGCTACCTGGGATTTGAACCCCAGGTCGTGAGCACAGTTTTAGCTGCGTTCTACCATTTTTATGTTGAGCAGATTTTTGTAACTTAAGGAAGGAAAAAATATTATTGCTATCTAAAGAGAAATTTCACAAAACCCCTAATTATCAACTATCTTACTCTTGGCTCAAGCTCATGGGCAAATGAAAGAGAAGTAACTAGAGGTGCGAGACCAATTGTGGTGTATATTGATTCATGAACTTTAGATTTTCCCACCTGATGACATTAACTGCCAGAAAAGCTGCTACTGACGTGTCTCATGAATACTGTACTGCTGAAAGCAGGAAGCCTTAAATTGGTACCTGTCCCATGTGTGACCCAAGTTAATAATCTGGATAAGAGGAGACTTCCTGCAGGCTTTGTGGGATTGGACATAACCTGTAGGTGTTGCTGCAATTTAGGATTGCTTTCCAGATCACCCTTGAGTGTACTATTTTCTGTTTGTTTCTCTTTCACTCTTTCATTGATTGCTTCTTTAGTGTTCAGTCCCTTTACCAGGAATAGGCTCTCAGTCAAGCTGGCATCATGCTTCAGCTTCCTGTTCAGATTGTGGGAAAACTTGGCCAGTCCTTTTTAGGATTGTCTGGCAACTGCAATCCTGTTCTTCTGCATGAAATTCAGATTGTCTTAGATCAATACATTTCCTTATTAGGCTGGTGAAGCAGACAGGAAAATAAGATGAGAGCTACAGGCATAAATTGCTTTACTGAGCACTACAAATTCAGAACTGTATCTTCAGAATCAAATGGGGCTACGGGGGGGGGAGATCATTGGGTCAACTTCATTGGGTCAACTTAGACCTGTTGGCCGGTGGTCCCCCATCACTGATCTGTCCTGTTCCACTATTGTCCAAGGCTACCCTTACTGGTCTTAGGTTCAAAATCCCTAAAGAGGAACTGAGTAGAGGTCTTCTGTTTCAAAATTGTGCCAGCTTCTTCTAAACCTTCCTTCTTTAAATGATTATTAGGCATACTTGTGGCTTCTGCTTTTGTTCTCGAGGTATAATTATCTACCTCCAGATAATGTATTATGCAGATAAAAGGTTCGATGTTTCATTCACATCCTGTAAGGGAAAGAGTGATTAGATGAACTGAGGTATGAGTTCTGAACATTAGAGATTATTATAATCTGTCCTGGGTATCAAGAGTGTTTGGACAATCTGGATTTTTGTGGTTTTTTGCCATTTATTGAAATGCATCTTTAGTTAGCAGGCCTTCAGGAAATCATTTAAAACCCACCTTAGGTCTTCTGCACATAACTTGGATCATTTGGTGATTTTAGTGGAGAAAATAATTGACTTTAAGTGGGTGGTAAAGCTGTCTTGCTCCCACTATCTGTTTTTAAGATTCAAGGAGTATGGAAGGCAGAACTGTTCTCAGTGAGCCAGGAAATCAAGAATAGATCGTTTATGACTCTGTTACAGATGGCCTAGCTGGGTTCATACTCCTTTCAAAGCTACCTTGAATTCAAAGAAAAATATATCTATGAGTTCCTACTAAGATGGTGAACCAGCAGTGCCTCTTAAAACTGCCCCCTGAACAATAGGGGGATGGAGCTTCAGTTTGTGCACTGCCACCCACTTTTGGCCAAAGGGAGAAACTGTACGTAGGTCAGACGTAGCAGGAAGGAAGCATCCATCTTTATGCCACGAGGCTTGACTCCTTTAAAGGCTTTGCTCACCGGAATAGTTCAGGTCTGGGATAGGTGTGGGGTTTTTGTGTTTGTTCTTTCTCTCCTGCCCCAACCTTGGCGAGTCTGACAAATCTTAGTCTCTAATCACCTCTTCCTTCAGTCTGTGGTCCCTGCCAGTTTAAGTTCCACCTGCTGCAGAGAAGAGGAGGGAACTTGGAGAGTCTTCTGTGGGGGCAGTGACTGAACGAGAGTGGTCGTGGGCCTGAGGAAAGGAATAATTTGTGACTTCCCCTTTCTTAGCAAAAAGTAAGGGAGATGACTTCTAGTAGGCTCAGATCAATTGCCTCTTGAGAATAAAGTTACCCTCATCCTTAGTATGTTGCCTAATACTCTGGAGATATGAGCTTAAGAAATGTTCTTTTTCCTCTTGGCATCGGTCACTCCTTGCCTTTTGTTTACTTACCTTGCTCTTGTGGAAGGGAGGGAGGAAAGAAAGCAGGCAGACAACCTACCTAAAGGGATTCTCTGTGTCCTGTCCTTCATCCTCCATAATGTGAGACAACTTTTTCTCGTGTCAAGGCACACTATGTTTCTGCAAGTAGTGTAGTCATGCCTTAACAAATGTATTACTCCATCCTATGTAGGGGGGAAATCTGGCACAAAGGTGCTGTTACAGGAGACCCCATGGCTCCTGTAATTTACTGTCTTGGCCTCCCACATGCAGATGTAGCAAGTGAACCTGTTCCCATTAAGGATGACAACACTAAGAAAAGCTCCAATTGCTAAACTGATGTGTGTTGGGATGGTAATAAAACTCAGGAACCAGCCCAGTAAAAAGAATGGCAATATGGCTCTCCTTCGCCCCCACAATCTCTTACCAAGTTATAGACTGAGTTAGATTAAAGGATCAAGTTTAATCCCATGCCCAGGAAGAAATGATTTGCTTCTAGGAGGATCTCTTGGATCAAGAGGAAATTGGCCACTTTGGAATGCACATGAAATAAATGTTTTCTCTGTACTTGGAACAGCGTTTAAAGCTCTCTCTCTCTTTTTTTTCAGTGCAGCAGAATTTCATGGCTTCTTCCGGGCATACAATGTCACATATTTGGCCCTAATATTTGAGAAGGAAGACTCATTTTTGGGCAGAGAGGTAACTACTACTACTATTATTATTATTATCATTATCATCATCATCTTTCATGCAGACATACCTTTCGTATTCATATCTATACCACAGATGCTGCAGTGGGCCAGTTCTGTCCCTCAGAACCGGCTGACTCACCAGGCTCTGCATGGCGCTGGGGTCTGGGTCTGGAAAAATGATAACAGATGACAAAGAAAAACAATTTAATACCTATTTTAGCTCAGTCTTTTCCCAAAGGATAGATTAAGACCCTCCAGACGAACATGAAGTGCAAATAGAGGGGACAGGGTTGTAGCTGGAGACTGATAAACAAATAGTCAAGTAATACCTTATTACAGTGGTTCCCAAACATTTCCGCCTCTTGGCTCCCTTGATTTACTGACCACAGGCCATGCCTCCCCTTGCTCAGAGGGGCCATCAGAGGTCTGTCTCCCACCAGAGGCTGGATCTTGACACACCCACCCCAGCCATCCCATCTCCGCCCCCTAAATATCTCCAAGGGACCACTTTTTTCCAGGCCATAATTCAGGAAACTCACAAGACCACCTGGCAAGCACTTCTGCTGGGGACCATAGTGGGGAAAGGAGAGTCAGGCACATGGCTTTCATTTCCAGTTTGACACAAAACTGTGAAGGCTGTAGATGAGCTGTTCATAGAGTTATGAACAGCTCCTCTATAACCTTCATAGCTCTATAGTCCATCCCTTTTCCTTTGGTGCCCTGGTCGGGTTTCTTGGTGCCCTGTTGAGCTGTGTTGTACAGTTTGGGGGCCCTTGCCTTATTATTTATTTATTTAACTTATATGCCGCCCACACTACCCAAAGGTCTATTACCTTGAATGAGTTCAAATCTCCAGGGCTGGATGAATTGCATCAGAAATAAATAAAACCTCATGACCCACAGCATTCACTATGATGCTTCTAGCTCTTCCTCCGTGATGCCTTCTAGCTAGACATGGCGGTATTCATATACAAACCCCACACACACACACACACACAGGTGGACATAACAAGAGTCTAGCCCACTGGGGCCATACTGTCCTCTCACCATCTGCTGCTATGAGCTCCATGCTCCCTTCCTGTCGCTCCAGAGCGCCCGACGTGTGAGCCACTCTTCAACCTGGCAAAGAGGCTTGTCGTCCCACCTCCTGCCAGGAGTGGCTAGTTGACAGTGAGCTTCGGAGCAATAGGAAGGGAACGCAGCGCTCACAACAGCAGCAGATGGTGAGTGGACAGCCTGGCCCCAGGGAACCGGGCCCTTGTTATGTCCACCTGTGGGGGGGTATTTGTATTCGTATACGAATACCCCCATCTCTACTTCCAGCTCTTCCTCTAGCTCAACCTACTGGCTCCAGACAGGCTTCATCAGATATGTCAGATAAGCCTCTCAGATGCTAATAAAAGAATTTAACAATGCCACTTGTGTTGTTTCTGGTTGTCAAGAAGAGACCACAAGAAGATCTTTGCTCTGATCTTATGTGATGTGGCTTCAGTGAGCCTCAGGAAGGCACTGAGATGGGAAGAAAACTGCATGGGCTCAAGAATGCTAACATTTCCTTTCTCTAATCAGTTATGCATTACTGCTTTGACTGAGACCTTCTGAGGGAGAAGTCCTCTCAAGGTACATAATTAGGATAGGTGCTGCCAAAGTGGTCAATACATTATTATGGAGGGGGCAAGGAAGAAGCCCACCGAGATACCATCCCATGGATCTGGCTTATGAAGCAAAACTGCACTGGGTGGGATTGATCAGAGGGTGAAATAAGCTAAAATGGATGGTTGACACCTGCAGGGGCCAGGCTACTGGTTCACACAGTACTCCATCTGATTGGCTGCAGGTTTGTCTTAGTATGTTGGGTCTCACACTAGACTTTGAGCTACAGTGAAAAAGAGCCAACAGCATGCTATGGCTACCAAAAAAAAAAGCAAATGAGATTTGGGCTGCATTAACAGAAGTACAGTCTCTAGATCCCATGAGGAACTACGTCCCCTCTATTTGGCACTGGTTAGGCGTCTTCTTACTCTGTCCAGTTCTGGACTCCGCACTTCAAGAAGGATGCTAACAAAACTAGAACAAGTTCAGAGGAGGGAGGCAAGGATGATCAGGGGGCTGGAAACCAAGCTTTATGAGGAAAGACTGAAAGAACTGGGCATGTTTAGCCTTGAGAAAAGAAGACTGAGGGGTGATATGATATCACTTTTCAAATATTTGAAAGGCTGTCATTCAGAGGAAGAGCAGGATCTGTTCTTGATCATCCCAGAGTGCAGAACATGCAGAATCAATGAAACAAAATTTTGGAGAATTATGGAGGTAATTTGGATCAGAACCATGACTCCAGTGGAAAGGTGATTAACTGCACAGATGTTTTTGTCCCATTAGAGAAAGCCCAAGCGCACATGTGGCATGGGTATCCATGGCAACTTTTAAGTTACATATATAAAATGAAGGTGATGAGCTTGATAAAAAATATATCAGTGATAAAGTGAACTTTTGACCCTCTAGATGGTTTTGACTACAACTCCTGCAATCCATTTCCATTTGACATTCTGATTAGGGCTTCTGGGAGTTGAAGTCCAAAACATCTGGAAGGACAGAGCTGCCTAATTCTTAGTACGTAGCATGCTTTGTTACTGTACAGATGCCTAAAAACAAGGTGACCTTAATTCAGAAATGCAGTCTAAACAATAGGAACGATACACGGGAGAAGGAAGCTGGCACAATACTTTCTGCTGATAAGCATCTTTCATTCAATGTCACAAGGAGGTATTTCTTCACAAGGATTGTTTGTGCAAGAGCAGCTAGCATAATCTCTCATAGCAAACAGTATCCTGAGCAAAAGTAAATGTGGCTTAACCAGATAATAGGGTATTGTTGTGCTTGCATAAGCTTGCTTCAGCTCTTCTGGACAAACTAAGCTAGGACTTCTGCCTTAAGGTCAGATGAGGGTCAGCCAAGTCAAGAACACATATTGGACTTGCGTACCAAATATAATACAAATACGTGGCAATAGGATATAAATCCTCCTGCCTATTCCTATAATACTCATATATAATGAATAGTCAGTCATTGTATGAGAGCAATTCCGTCAAGAAAGAGAGAAGGCAGGAGGGAATAAAAGATGTTTGTCCATGTGGCTGCATACATACATGCACACACAAAGTGAAGGCTTGAGAGAAAGAGGCAGCTCCTCCTTCATTCTGTCTTGTTGCTGGAAGACAACTAGACCTCTTTTATGGTAGAACATTTACTCCCATTCTGGACCTAATTACATGCTGTGTTAAGTGTGTAGTATGCAAGTGAAGATCCATATATTTTTTAAAACAAAGGCAGCATGTTTGACCCCAATCTGGATTGGGATTTTTGGTGTGGGGAGGCTTATTTTCTAAGATCTCACACCCTACCTCCTCCAGTGCTCTTGGAAAAAGTAACACATACTGGCTCAGAGGATAAGTGAGGCAGAGGAGCTCAGTTGTTACTGTACAGTATTTTTCTTTCCTGTAGCCCCTGTGTAAGAGGGACAATTTTGGAATCAGAGGGTGGGATGTTAAATCTCCCCTACCTGCACACAGTGGTCTTGATCAACGTTGTCACCACTCATGCATAGTAGCTTTAAGGTACTGAGGTGTTTCAGAATCCGAGACACAATACTGGGAATATTGTGCAGATAGATAAAGTTGGGCTGTCACAGCAAAAAGAGGTGTCAAGTAAACCAACAGAGAGTAGAACTAGATATTCCTTTGTCCTATAGAGCATGTTGCATCAGCACTTCCATTTTTAGAAATTAGTAATGTGGCAAAATTGTCACCTTGGGCACCCACTTTTGAAGATGGGTTACTATTTATTCCACTTTGGTTTATGCTCTTCTGGAAGGTGAGAAAGATAAGGACAGTAATGCTTTCTGTCTTCATCTGGCAGATGAGTGCCTCTCCTGCTTTACGTATGTTAACTCCGCCCCACCCACTTTCTATTTTTTCTTACATATACATGCACACAGACATGCAGAACAGATTGAAATTGCATTGTGTAAGTTCATTGGTAGTCACTTGGACACCTTTGCTTGATTTATTTATTTAATTTATTTATTTTATTTAATTTATACCCCGCCTATCTGGTCGGTGAGGAGTGCCTTAGCTTTGATATGGATTAGCCCTCGCAAGACATGAAAAGACAATTTTTATGGAATGTTTTTGTCTTTGTATTATACATGCTACATAAGACAAGCCCCAGAAGTCTGCCTGCTGGGAGTATAGAAGACAACCTTAGCAGCAGGCTGTGAAATCCATTGGCATAGAGGTGTACGTGTACACTGTAGATACAATGAAGGAAGAGCCATTTGGTTGCTTCTCTTGGCCCATTCAAAAAATACACACATATTTGTAGAGGATAATTTCCGCTGCTGTTCCATCCTAATCCCTAAAACAAATTAGTCACTAGAGAGAGAGTGGAACATGGACATTTTACTTTTTTGGGATAGCAGCTCTTGCCACCTGAGGAATGTTTAGACTTGTTGCCCCAAAAATAACTTTTTCCAGGGTCTCTTGGAGAGAGTTAACAAAAGAAAGAGAAAGGACAAGTCTTTGTGTGTGTGTGTGTGTGTGTTAGTTATAGTAATCAATCTTGTTGTTTGAAACCCAGAAGTGACCCAGTTTGAATATTTTCTCCCCATATTAGCTCAGTGCATTGAAGGTAAAATGGGTCCATACTAGCACATTTTGTTGGGCATCTATTAAGGTGGGGTAGACAACCTTCAGAAGTCTGAGGATTGCACTCCCACCCCGTGGCCACACTCACTCCCACACTCCCATACTTCACCCATCCAACAATATTTTTCTTTAAGCAAGATTTGTTCATTTTTCAACTGAGAGAGAAAACCCCATCATGCTTTCTCTCTCAGTTGAAATGGGGCTCCTGAGGTGGTAAACATGGTAGAATTGCCTCTCACACTCCCTAAATTGCACAAGGGGACATTTTGAGCCAAAAATAAAGGGTTAGCAGTGTGGGGTGCCTACATTTGTACTATGGAGAGCTATATACATCCTTGAGACCATATTGTGCCCGCCACCTGCACTGAGGGGCTTGCACCTATGATCAGGGGCCATTGTGGATGGATCTAATTTGTCTGGTTGACCTTAGGATGGGATCCATGGGCAGGGTCTCCTTCTTTCCATGACATGTGTACCCGTGGAAGGGATCATACAAATGTGGCTTGTTTAAAATCAAGAAGACAAACTGTTTTTAGAATAGAAGGCCTTAGTCCAGAAATAACAAGAGCAGGAAAAAAGAATGCTTGACAGTGCAGAACAGGTGAGGCCTGGGAAAGATATCTTGGGCACATGCCATGTTCCACGTTAAGCCTTTAGAGTAGAAGACAGGAGTGCCTTGTGTAAAAGTTTTGGTTACAGAACAGTAACTCATACAAATACTTGATTTTAGGTAACGTTGGACATGCTCCAGTTCGAGAACCTTGCGGTACGGCGTGTCCTGAAGAGCAATGAAGAGCTAGTGAGGCATTTCAACGTCACCACCTTCCCATCTGGCTTTCTGCTTGTTAACAACGGCTCTTGCAGTATCATCCCTGTGTGAGTTGCTGTCATTTCTATGTTTATTCTCTTCTGAACTTCTGAATTAAGTATATATTCTTGAGTCTGGGATGAGATTCTGAGCTTACAGCTAATCAAAGACACATCCAAAGACAAATTTATGTGAACTTCACTAAGTGCTTTTTGCAATGAAAGCACCATTCTTTTCAGTCAGGCTTGTGTAGAGTTCTGCAGTTGTGTGCATGCATGCATTTGTGCATGTATCAATCAATCAATCAATCAGTCAATCAATCAATCAGTCAATCCCACAATAATTATTGTGGTTTCACTTCAGTGAACAGTATACTTTATGTAAATGTGTGAGGCTCTAGGATTTGAGACTAAAAAGATCCTATGTTCAGGTAAAGGTAAAGGTTCCCCTTGACACTTTTTGTCCAGTCGTGTTCGACTCTAGGGGGCAGTGCTCATCTCCGTTTCCAAGCCATAGAGCCAGCGTTTTGTCCGAAGACAATCTTCCGTGGTCACATGGCCAGTGCAACTTAGACACGGAACGCTGTTACCTTCCCACCGAGGTGGTCCCTATTTAGCTACTTGCATTTGCATGCTTTCGAACCGTTAGGTTGGCGGGAGCTGGGACAAGTGACAGGCGCTCACTCCATCGCATGGATTCGATCTTATGACTGCTTGGTCTTCTGACCCTGCAGCACAGGCTTCTGTGGTTTAGCCCGCAGTACTAAAAAGATCCTATGTTCAGACTATGGGTAAAATTCACTTCAAAGTAAAATCCTAACAGGAGTCTGGCTGGTATTTGTTTATTTTGTTGACTTTTTTAAAAAAAGTGCACAGTTATTTGTCAGAGAGTGGACTGACTGAAGAACTGGATGGTTGTCCATTGGTATCTTAGCTTTAACTTGAGGCTGAACAGGTGAAAATTCCAGATTATTTGACAGCCTGACTGTGTTGTTTGTCTCCTATTATAGTTCAAACAAACATCGCTGGAGGACAAAATCTTGCTGAGGTTTGGGGACAGGTGGGCAGGCATGTCACTGTTGAGGCTTCTGTGGGATCCTTGTAGGAAATTTTTGCCCAATAGCTGCCTGGATTAAACTGTGTTTCAAACACTGGCCATTTCAGGATCCTGTGAGTTTTAACCTGTTTCTGTGTGAAAGGTCATATTTTGTCATCTGAAAAGCTATAGAGCTTAGAAACATTCATTTCTTGAACTATAGTTCCTACAAACATTGCCCATGCTGGTTGTGGGATTCTGGGATGTGTTAGTCCAAAAGAGTAACATGTTCATACTCTGCAATACAGCTGAGCAGCAGATGGGCAGGTTTCTGACAAGTGTGTTGCCAAAGGCTGTTTCCAGCCACCTGCTTGAGCATGTGGGTGTTTGTCTGGCACGTGTGCTAGGCTGAGATCTATGTGACAGAAACTCCTTGGGAGGGAGGATCCTCTCATGTATCTGAGACCAGAACCATGGTTGTTGTTTAGGCAGAGAGATCTCCTGGGGTGAAACCTGTGAATGTAAATTATTTCTCTTGTTTATGGAGAGTGTGGGTATGTTTTGAGCATTGCTTAGTGAAAAAACAGGCATGCTGCTCCTGCAGATTAGATGACTGTACATCTGTTCTACCACTGACATTATACCACACACTTAGCACCTATATTGTTCTTTAAAATAGAGTTCCCTAACCTGGTGCCATCCTGGACTAGAATTCCTATCAGTCTGAGACAAATTCTTCATGTGGCACATTTGGATAGTACCAGCTTGGGGCAGGATGATTTATCACATTCCTATCTAGATTGTTTGGAAGAAGGAAGCTTATAGGACAAAATCATACTCATTTGTTTGCTTGTTCGTTTAAAATATTTTTACCCCATCTTGTCCTTAAAACGGACCCAAGGTGCCTTACTTCATTAAAACACAATATTTAAAGGTAACAACAGCAAGTATAAAAATACTAAAAACAAAGAAACAAATAACACACTTAAAAATGGTAAACAAAAGCAACACCAAAAACAGTTCTGGTTCAGGACTGACCTGAGGCATCATTATCAGAATGCTGGTCCAAAGCAAAATGCAAAGTGGAAAAGCACAGCCAGCCATATCAATGCCCATCTCAAGCAGCCCAGTCACTAAAAAGGAAAGTTTGCCTGCCCTTTTGCTGTCCTTCGGCAAGCAGGGAAAGATGTCTCTCTTCAGGCAGGCTTTTCCTTTAGTGACTGGCTTCTCTGAAAGGGGGGCTTGTATGGACTGTTGTGCTTTGTTGGTTTTAAATGTGTTTTTGGTATTGATTTTAATTACCAAAAACACATTTAAAAGCAACAAAGCACAATGATCCGTACACACACCCCCCAGACAGACAGTCACTAAGGACATTTTTAAATATAATACTTACTTAATTCTTTTAAAATATTTGTATACTTGCTGTTTTTAGCTTTTAAATGTTGTCTTTTCAATGATGTAAGCCAGCTTGGATTCTTTTGAGGAGAAAGGTGGGATAAAAATATTTTAAATAAATAAAAAAAATTATTGCTATAAAGGGACAGACCCTAGCATCTGTCAGAGGTACATAGGAAACCTTTTTCTGTTGTGGATTGCTGCCTTTTTGCTTTATGAGCTGCGTATGTTCCATCTGTCTTGTGTAGAGAGTAAGTTGTGGTGTTTTTTTAAAATTACAGTATCTTGAAATGTTGGAGAATATTGAACTTGGTTTGCTAAACCTGGCAGGCAATTAGCTACTTCCTCACACACCCCCACACCACCACCTAGCTATTTTGACCCTCCATGTGCTCTTCTAATTGCAGAAAAGTTCATTAGGAGCCAGACAATGGCTGGTTATGAGAAACTGGCACAGAACAATGGAACTTGTGCTTTGGGCCCTCTGGTGGATTCCTGCTACTGAAAAATGTGCTAAATGACAAGCAGATGGTATCTTCCCCCTGTCGCTCTCCCCCCCAGCTCTCTTGCCATCTTGTGAAGCTTTTCGCCGATGATTGATGTCTACCTGGCAGTGAAGGCCTTAGTGTGACCAGCAAAGAGGCACCCTGGCACTGTGGTTTTCTTACGAAGGGGCTTAGGGAGATTTTGATCCCACTGTCTCCTGTAGCAAAGTGAAATAAGCCTCTGCCATTGCTCTCACGCCTGGCTTCCTAACCATCCTGTGGAGAATTGCAGGCCCTCTTGCCGAAGAACCAGCCATAGAGGCAGCAAACTGCATGTGAGGGTGTCACCTTTTGTCTCCAGTGCCAGCTTCACCCGAGAGGAGAGCTATTGTTTTCTCTGCTGCCGAGCTGGTGAAGGGGAAAATTATTTATGATGGTGCTGTCTCCTGGCCATCTGTTTGCAGGGAGGCGACAAGCCGAGGAAACAAAGTGTACAGTGGCTGCTCCTGCTTGTGGTTCCTTAGGGGCTCTGTTGCCAGTGCCATTGCTTCCCACAATGGGAGGAACCTTTTTGCTCATTTAGTTCTGCTGCAGGTTGAAAGTGGGCTTTTCCCACTGGGATGCTTGAGCCACCTTACCAAAAGATGGATAAGGTTGGAGGTAAGATTAGTCTCCCCATTGATCTGGTGTGCAGCTTGTGATTTATTTCAGAAGAAATCAGGTCACCGAAGGCAGAGAAGGTGGAAGAAGCATAGGTGTCTCAGTCCAGCCACTGAACTTGAAACTCATGATATGAGCTATGTTTATTTCACTTTTATCAGAAATCAGGAATGCAGTTTGTATAGAAGAACTACTAACTGGTGTTTGTGCCCTAAGCGTTGTATGGTCTGCAGGCCTTCATGCAAGGTTATTCTTCATCTATGCCAGACTAGATTATGTGGCAGCTGAGTCTTCAGAAACTGCATGAATGATTCAAATGTTGGCCTACAAAATGAATTATGGAGCAAAGCCAGTAAGATTAATGCAAATGTTACTGTTTTGCATAAATCTGCTTTGTTTTTCTGTTCCTTTATGACTTGCTCCTGAATCTATTTATAGTATTTTGATTATTTTATAAATGTTACCTGCTATTTTCCAACACACTTATATAATCCTATAAATTAAAACATATGCTTCTTAAACTTCTGCTTTCCTATTACACAGATATTTTGCCTTTTCTACTAATCATTCAGAGTGTCAGGATTGTTCTGTATCTATAGCAGTCTCAGGGCCAAGAGCCCCTGAGGGTATTGAGCAGGTTTTTTAAAACAGGGCATGGAAACTGTCTCTAACACAAAAAATATAGGTTGCCCAGACCCACATTTATGTTCCACAGTTCCATGTAAAATTGCAGAAAGGCAAAAGGGACTGCCTAAGCGTTGCTGCTTTAACAACTCTGATTATGTGATCTGAACACCTGCTGAGAAGTCTTGCTTTAACATGCAGTTTCTAGAAGGTTTTTATCAACCCAGTGAGCACTGATGTGCAAGGAGGTAATATAAATAAAGAGTAGAGGAGTCTACCTCAAAGAATGAGGTTCAAATCCAGTGACTGGTCCCAAATAAGGGAAAGTCTGTTGAATCTGTGGGTGAATCCACACTTAGGTACATTCTGTTGATTCAGAGGGTCTATTCTAGTTGGGGCTAATAACTGGATTCAGTGGGAAAACAGACTTTCCCAGCTTAGGGTCCTGAAATTGGCCACTCCTGGGAGACTGTAGTCTAACAACAGTTAAGGAATGGCTATGATGAGGTTTTCTATGCAGTGCTATAGAAATTATTTTTTAAACTTAGACTCCGACATGTGTGGTTATCCTTCTGAGTACAGGGCAGCAGCATTGGCTGTACCCACAACATGTTAGGTAACACGTGATGCAGCAAACTTTCAGCCACAGCTCATTTGGGGAGAAACATGAGAATCAAGGTGGGGACTCTATTTTCTGGTTAGGAACAGACTGAGCATTATGAATTTTTTCACACTTAAGTAGTGGAATTTCAGACATTAAGTGTTATCATAAAGCAGAGTAAATAACTATGTGTTCTCTTCTTGGGGGCTAAACAGATTTCTGGTAATTTAAGGACACGCAGCATGTTGTTAGAATAAAAACAAAAATGTCCATTGTCTCAGATTATGTCTCCCCTCCTGTACCTTCCTAGGCATATGGACTCGAGACCGCTTTATACTGACTTCTTGCGGCGACTGCCTGGTGTCATGAAAGGAAACACCTTCAGACCCACTATGCTACCCAGTGCAGAACCACAGACTACCACTGCACCGTGGAGAGTAGCAGACAGGTGAGACACATCTGAGCTGTTGCCTGCTCTTTACCATACCTTTGCAAGTTGATTGGCCTTATGGTAAGCGGCTGATCAGACCTTACTTTTGAAGCTTTGCCAAGATTCAACAATCTACACAGATGGATGGGATGAGTAGAGAAGAGCCAGCAGTTCAAGGAGCTGTCATTTTGAAACTTGGCCAAGGTTACCAGAAGTGTTCAAATCAGCGTTGTGCTGGGCCATGAATTAGCAGAACGTTGATGCATGATTAAGGTGAGATGTTAAGCTTTCTTGGCAGGCAGTCCTTGGGAAAGCTGTTCCTGCACTGCACTGTATGGAAACATCCCCTGTAGTGAATTAGATATCAGCTAGAATTGTTCTGGCATAATCTTCTATTTGGCATACTAGGTTTCCGTGCACAGGAATTGTTATGCTCGGGGAAGCATCCCATTGATACAATCTACCCCATCCTGACACACATGATTGAACACACATTGTAATTGTACAGCTTATGTAGTGTACTATGAAGTTCTGTTTGTGTAAGTCTTTTCTAAGCTGAAGGGAATCCTGTCTGGAGAAGCTGAAGCTGAAGAGGAGCTTCTTGTTTTGCTCCAAGTTAGAAGTCATGTCGCATTCTTTGCTACTTCTGAACAGCAGCTACAGCTTAATGAGATTACTGAAATCTTTAGAAAACCAAAAGAGAAATATTGGATGTGAGACAAGGACAGTTGTGGAATGTGGCTATCAGGCATGGTGGGATGTATAATAAAAGGGATTGTTTGGCTCAGAATTTGGTATGAATTGAAGAAAGTGAAAAAGACATATCACAGAAGTGAGTACACCCCCTCACATTTCATAAATATTTTATTATATCTTTTCGTGTGACAACTCTGAAGAAATGACACTTGGCTACAGTGTAGAGCAGTGAGTAGACAGCTTGTATAACAGTGTAAATGTACTGTCCCCTCAAAATAACGCAATACACAGCCATTAATGTCTAAACTGCTGGCAATAAAAATGAGTACGCCCCTAAGTGACAATGTCCAAATTGGGTACAAAGTGTCATATTTTGTGTGGCCGCCATTATTTTTCAGCACTTCCTTAACCGTCTTGGGCATAGAGTTCACCAGAGCTTCACAGGTTGCCACTGGAGTCCTCTTCCACGCCTCTATGACGACCTCACAGAGCAGGTGGATGATAGATCCACCTTTCGTTTCAGGATGCCCCACAGATGCTCAATTGGGTTTAGGTCTAGAGACCTGTTTGGCCAGTCCATCACCTTTATCCTCAGCTTCTTTAGCAAGGCAGTGTGTTTGGGGTCATTCTCATGTTGGAATACTGCCCTGTGACCCAGTCTCTGAAGGGAGGGGATCATGCTCTGCTTCAGTATGTCACAGTACATGCTGGCATTCATGGTTCCCTCAATGAATTGTAGCTCCCCAGTGCCAGCAGCACTAATGCAGCCCCAGATCATGACACTCCCACCACCAGGCTTGACTGTAGGCATGACTAACTTGTCTTTGTACTCCTCACCAGGTTGCTACCGCACAGGCTTGACACCATCTGAACCAAATACAGTGGTGCCTCGACTTACGAAATTAATCCGTATTGGAACAGTGGCTGCATCTCAAAATTTTCATGAATCAACATTTCCCATAAGAATGCATTGAAAGCCATTTAATCCATTCCGGCTGTTTTTAAGTCGAAGCATTAGCTCCCACAGGAACTAATGCAAAGCCGGTTAATCCGTCCTCTACCACTAGGGGGAGAATTTTTCTTCTTTGGACCTAAGATGAACTTAGGTTTAAAAAAAAGGGCAGGAAAGGAGGGGGGGGAACACCTTCTAAACAGAACACCTTTAAAAACAAGCACCTTTTAAACCAAGTCAAGCACCTTTTAGGTTAAAAAAGAGCAGGAGAACACATTCTAAACAGAACACCTTTTAACCCAAGCACCTTTTGAACAAAACCAAGCACCTTTAAGTCTACAGTAAGCTCCATTTTAAAGCCTGGATGCATCAATAAGTACTACAGCCCCTCACAAAATATTTTCTGATTTTAAAAGAGACAGACCTTGGAGCCACATTTTAAACACACATTTTAAAACAAAAGACAGGTCACAGTACACAAACCTTAAACACCACAGAAGCCAGCAAGCATTATTCCAGCACAGAACTCCTTGTCACAAAAAGAGTTCTGTTTAAAGTCCATTTTACAGCCTGCCTGCATCAACAGCCAGCACATCCCCTCACAGAATATTTTCTGATTTTAAGAAAAAAAACTGGAGTCTAAACTGCATTTTACAGCCTGGCTGCATCAATAACCAGCACAGAATATTTTCTGATTTTGAGGGGAAAAAGTCTTTGAAGCAACATTTTAAACCCACGCATTTTAAAACAACAAAAAAGACTTTGAAGCAACATTTTAAACCCACACATTTTAAAACAGAGAGGTCATGGTACACAAACCCTAGGAGCCACAGAATGCAAAAATAAATAAATAAATTTTACATTTTAAAATTATACAGTAATTTTCACATTTAATTTTAATTTAATATTGCAATATACTTTTCACATTTTAAATCCACACTGCAAGACCCATCAGAGCACAGAAACATAACCCCCCCACCTAGCCCTGCCACCCCAAGCTGCAAAAAGCCCTGTACAGTACAGTAAATACAATGTACAGTATGTACTCACCCAGAACAGGCAATCTCTCTGTTTTTTTAAAAAAAGTAAAAAAAAAATCAAAAAATCAAAAATTAAAAAAAAATACAGTCCCTACAGTACCAGGCAATCTGAAGACTTTCTCCCTATCCACTCTAACCGCTGGTACGAGCGAGGTAGCAGATAAGCAGCCTCTTCGCTGGGCAACAGTTAACAGAAAGTTTAAATTTCATGCTTTCCCCACCTCCCCCGCGGTTTTTTCTTTCGTAACTCGAAGCTCCATTTGCAAGTTGAAGCAATATTTTGCGAAAGGAGCTTTTCGTATTTCAGAAATTTTGCAACTAGGGACATTCGTAAGTCGAGGCACCACTGTAAGTTTATCTTGGTCTCATCGGACCACAGGGCATGGTTCCAGAAATCCATGTCCTTAGTTTGCTTGTCTACAGCAAACCGTATGCAGGCTTTCTTGTGCATCATCTTTAGAAGAGGCTTCCTTCTGGGACAACAGCCCTGGAGACCAATTTGATGCAGTGTGCGGCGTATGGTCTGACCACTGACAGGCTGACCACCCAACCCTTCAGCCTCTACAGCAATGCTGGCATTAGTCATACGTCTGTTTCCCAAAGCCAACCTCTGGATATGTCGCGGAGCACGGGCACTCAACTGCTTTAGTCAACCATGGTGAGGCCTGTTCTGAGTGGAACCTGTCCTGTTAAACCACTGGCCACCATGCTGCAGCTCAGTTTCAGGGTTTTGGTAATCTTCTTATAGCCTAGGCCAGCAATGGCAAACCTAGGGCATGCGTGCCACAGCTGGCACGCGAGCCATACGTCACCGGATTACTAATCCCCACTTCCCCCGCAGTCAGACCTGAGCAGGCGGCTGCAACTGTGGTGCTGGTGCCCAGACAGACGGCGGGTCAGGATCCAGAGCAGCTGGTGCTGGTGGCAGATCCGGAGTGGAGTCTCGAGGCACCTCCGTGCCCGGGATTCTCCCTTCCGCTGCCGCTTCCATTCCGCTGCTGCCACTTCCGGTTCTGCCGCCACCGCCCTGTTCCCCCCCCCCCAGTTTGGGCATACAAGCTGAGAAAGGTCCGCCACCACTGGCCTAGACCATCTTTATATAGAGCAACAATTTCTTTTTTTCAGATCCTCAGATAGTTTGTTACCATGAGGTCCCGTGTGGAACTTCCAGTAACCAGTCTGAGAGAGTGAGAGCGGTAACACCTGCTTCCCCTTCACACCTGAGACTTGTGACACTAACGGGCCTCATGACACCAGGGAGGGAAAACGGCTACTTGGGCCCAATTTGGATATTGTCACTTAGGGGTGTACTCACTTTTGTTGCCAGCAGTTTAGACATTAATGGCTGTTTGTTGCGTTATTTTGAGGGGACAGCACATTTACACTGTTAAACAAGTTGTCTACTCACTGCTTTACATTGTAGCCAAGTGTCATTTCTTCAGTGTCGTCACACGAAAAGATATACTCAAATATTTATGAAATCTGAGGGGACATACTCACTTCTGTGATATGAAGACTCAGTTTTTCTGCCTTGCCCTCTATGGGAGAGCTGGGGAATTAGCCTTTCAGATGTTCTGACTGATTTATTTATTATATTTGTAAATAAATTACTGCTTTTTTTAGTGTGTTCAAGCCAATGTACATAGTTATTTCTCTGTTGCCATCTTGTTTTGGAGGAATTCCACTTCATCTTTTCTACACAACAGTTAGAACGAATGTCTGGTGCAGTCTTGCTTAATGGCAAAGGAAAGATGGTGGTAAGGGTGCTCCTGGAAGTGTATGCCCTATAAAAGGAGACAGTGGGCAGTGTAGCATCCCATGTGGTCATGGTGTCTGGGGATGATGTTCCATCTCTCCAGTAAGGAAATCTGATCTTCTCCCAGTGCCAAAGCTGGATTCTCTAGAACACTGGACTGCATGCAGTGAGTTGAACCCCACCATCGGTCATTGCTCAGTCTGGGATGCTTGTTGTCTCTCCTCTTGAATCAGATGTCTTCAGTCACCAGAAAGGAGCCTTCCCCACACAACTCCTTCCATGACTTAATAGCTTTTTTTTCCAAGGCAAAAATACCAAGATGCTTCAACATGTGTACTTCTAGTGCTTAGCTGTGTTTTCATTCACTTGGGAATGAAATTAAACCAAGTTTCTTGTACAGTGAAGTCTGATTTCTGGATGCTTTCCTAGCAAACTATTGGGTTTAACAGTTCATTACTGTTAATGGTTAGGAGGCTAATTCATTGTTGTTCACATTTACAACTAAAATTGTTTTAATTTGCTGAACAAACATTACTAATGTGCTAAATAAGTAGTTCATTTTTAAATAGCAGTATTTAGAGAGAATTGCATGTAGATTGTCCCAATTAACTCCCAGAAATCCTAGCCAGCACAGATAGTGTGAAGGCTTCTATGAGTTTTAGTCCAAGAATGTCTGTGGACCCGAGGCTGAGAACTATTGCCTTACGAAGCATTTGAAAGAGGAACCTTCATAAGACTGTTTTTGTTGCCTTGAAATTGCCTCTGAAACTTGTTAATTCTCTTAACACAATTAATACCCAGGATAGTGGGGCTCAACATGTCAGGTGAGAAAGCATGTTTCTTGTAAACCTAGGCTTTCATGTTCCTACCATCCAGAAGAAGAGGCACCCACACATCTCCCAACAAAAGACCATCTCAGTACAAAATATTATTTTTTTTACCCCTTTTAATATTAAGTTTTCTGAAGTAAAAAATTCTACACACACACAGAGAGAGAGAGAGAGACCTTAACACAATTAATACCTAGGATAGTGGGGCTCTACATGTCAGGTGAGAAAGCATGTTTGTTGTAAACCTAGGCTTTCATGTTCCTACCGTCCAGAAGAAGAGGCACGCGCACGCACGCGCACGCACACGCGCACACACACACACACACACACACACACACACACACACACACACACACACACAGAGAGAGAGAGAGAGAGAGAGAGAGAGCTATATTCTCTCACACAGCTATAGAGTTTATAGAGACTACCCCAACCATCACTTCCACAAGATGTGCACACAGCTGAAAACTGTTGGCTTCTCATCCCCCATGGATAATATAGTTTAAAAATCACTGTTAGATGTTTGTGTCTGGAGTAAAACCAGTCTCTGCTCTCAAGTTGAAGATTAATGTGGGTTGAATTGTGTAGCCTGTCCACTAACCACAGCTATCTCTAGAGAAAATTTCCAAATAAGATAAATGTAAAGCCGTTAGTTTTTAGAAGTACTGCAAGACTGTTTTTTCTGCAGTAAGGCTAACACAGTACAAGAACTATCCATTTGGAAGCTGTTTCATCTTTGTCAGATGATGGTGTGGGTCAAGCCTCAAAAACATATGCTACAATGCAAATTTGTTAGTTGTTATAGTTCCATTAAATTCTCTTGCTTGTTTGTGATGTAGCAGAATATTGTAGGAGGCCTTTATTAGGGACGTGGCGCTGTGGGCTAAACCGCAGAAGCCTGTGCTACAGGGCCAGAAGACCAAGCAGTCGTAAGATCGAATCCACGCGACGGAGGGAGCGCCCGTCGCTTGTCCCAGCTCCCGCCAACCTAGCGGTTCGAAAGCATGCAAATGCAAGTAGATAAATAGGGACCACCTCGGTGGGAAGGGAACAGCGTTCTGTGTCTAAGTCACACTGGCCATGTGACCACGGAAGATTGTCTTCGGACAAAACGCTGGCTCTATGGCTTGGAAACGGGGATGAGCACCGCCCCCTAGAGTCGAACACGACTGGGCAAAAATTGTCAAGGGGAACCTTTACCTTTACCTTCTAACATTTAGTAGAGACTGTAGATAAGTGGCCACTTTTGTTATAGGCGCATACTAAAATAATTCGCAGGAGATGGTGAGCAAATGTCCCTCCTTCCCTTTCCAAAGCTGTTGCAACAGGTTCAGTGGCAATAGCTATTGCTTTTGCTACACACCCCTTTTGCCTCTATAGCGAACTCATTGGCCAAAAAGTGCCAAAGGAACTGGCAGATTACACAGTGGAGTTGCTGATTCATTCTGCTTCAGCTATGTAACTGCCACATTTCTCTCTTTTGCTTTGTGTTTATTTTTCTGTACCAGGAAGAAGTTGTATATGGCTGATTTGGAATCTGCAGTGCTTTACACTCTAAGGGTGGAAGCAGCACGATTCTCTCACCTTGACGAGGAACGCCTCTCTGCCCTGAAGCAGTATGTGACTGTGCTGGTCAAGGTGAGCTTTATGAAGCCTCTCATGCTGAGTCCTCTCTTTCTTCCTCACCATTTTTGTTCCTACAGATGCACTTGCTTCTCTGCTTTCTTAGGGGCCCATCTTAAAGAAGTAATCTGTAAGCTATTCATTTCCCTTTTTCCTGTAAGGACAGTAAATATAAGTTATTAACATATGTTCGGAGCAAAAATAGTTAACCGCGGCAATTTGGTTAGTGACTGTTTCGAAAGATCAGTTTTTTAACTGCCAAGCTTTTAATTTTGTTTCGTATTCTTACGTCCTTTTGAGCTTAGCTTAATCAATTAATGTTCTCTTGGCTGCAGACAGTTGATAGCCTGTTTGGCATCTTGCTTTGGAAGAGTTCAGTGTTTAAATCAGGAGTGAGCAAAATGCAGCATGAGGACGGTGTGCAATCTGCAGGGGCGTTTTACACACATGCAGATCTCATGTTTGCTATCAAGTTCGACATTTAAAGAATTCAGACAGAAGACTGATTTGGTTTTGTTTTGTTTTTATTTTTGTTGGTTGTTCTGGGTTTTTCAGGCTCTTTGGCCGTATTCTGAATGTTGTTCTTCCTGACATTTCGCCAGTCTCTGTGGCCAGCATCTTCAGAGGACAGCACTACACTACCAAGCCAACTACACTAGAGCACCGAGTGCTGTCCTCTGAAGATGCCGGCCACAGAGACTGGCAAAACGTCAGGAAGAACAACCTTCAGAACACGGCCAAAGAGCCCAAAAAACCCACAACCACCATTAGATCCTGGCCGTGAAAGCCTTCACGAATATATTTATTTTTGTTGTTTGAGGCCTGTAGGAGTAACAATTTTTTTGCTTTGGAGGATAAGAGGGGTACCCTTAGCTCTCCAACTCAAAACAAAAAAACCAAAATCAAAACAAGAATTGGCCATCCAATCATTTCAGGTTTGGATCCCATCCATTTTTTGCCATCTCTGGGCTTATTGAAGCTGTGGGTCCATGTTGTGGGTGAAAATCTGCCGTTACCCAAGGGGCCCATCTGTTTCATATCTGTAGAGAATTTTGCCACTCAGAACTGTAGTTTGGTAGAAAGAGCTTCACTCACATGTCCCAGCACTTCTTGTTTTACACAAGCCAGTTGGAAACTGCAACAGTGCTGAATCTCCCTTGCTTCACATGACCTGAGTAGCAGCCTTAAGATGGTGCTACCAGGTCCACAACTAGCTGGAGCATTTTTGCTTTATCTAACCCTGTTACCTGACTTGCCTTGTGATTATTTTGTTTTATTTTTTACATATGTCATTTCCAGGATAAAATTCATTGTAAAGATAAATGAGGGAAAAATATTTTCTGCCTTGTTTTTGCCGTGATCCATACCTTTCTGAAACCACTTACTCCTGCCTGCCTTGTCAAGCAGTATGTGTCTGTGTTTAGTTATGGTTGTGGGAATGCAGGTGATCCTGCCATTTTTCTCATGTTCTTGGATTGTGCTGATAGTATTACACTGATGCTGTGTGCTTGGAGAGGAAAAGTGTCTGGGTAGGGAGGTGCCCATTAGGCTCAGTTAGAGGGCTCCTCCAAAAAAACTACACCTGGGATCTGGAGTCACACTCCTAAAAACAATTAGGCATACTCCTAATAACAATGAGACGTAGAGCAAATATTTGGGCACTAGGTGGAGCAGTCTGACTAGAATCCAGCTGTTCAACTATTACGCCTCTTCCCTATTCTCCTTACATCCCTCCCTCTCATTGTTTTTGATACATGTGCTTTTCATGTTTTTTTTTGTTTGTTTGTTTTTTGCCTCTCTGCACACAAATTAACCCAGAACTTTGGACAGTCAATAGCTTTGCACCAGCAAGGACTCAGCATGGGTTGTGTCTTTAGTATCACAATTTAAAAGCTCACAGGTAGCCTATAAGAGTTGTAACCAATTCTAAGGCAGGGAAGGGATATCTGACTGTCCAGTTCTGAGTAAGGAAAGCAGCTTTGTGTATCTGTTCATATGGGACAAATGTGAGATCTTCTAGACACAAAATGTGTGGTCCTCATCTGCACCATTCTCGCAAAGCAAGGAAAGGAATCAAGGAAAATGGGATTTCTCTTAAGTTTTTTTTTAACCAGCATTGGAAGTTAATAACTATCCTCTTATTTGGAATTGGTTGCAATTGCTAATTGGAAAGCATAGCAAGTGTGTCTGTGAATCCCCATTAATTACAACTGAGGGCTTTTAAAAACCTCTTTTCCTTTTATCCACCCTGCCAATCAATTTTCCAGTTTCCTCTCTTCCTGCCCGCTCTCCCTGTTCAACTTGTCATTTCCCCACTTGCCTATCTTTCTTCCTGTAACATGGCTTTTCCTCTACATTCCCTCCCTCCCCCAATGAGCATATGTAGCTCTTTGGTCCCTTCTCCCTGGAGTGCTTGTGGTTTTAAAGTGCTGATGCTAATCGGATTTGAGTTGACTTATTGTCAAAGTAGCTTTACATGTTCCTTGGAGACTATTTTGGAGTTACAATCAAGATTTGGATCTTGGCTGTTGGCCCACAGAGGCTGACTTATTTGCTACAGCACCATGCTGAAAATATATAAAAGAATCTCCTGGTGTTAGCAAACAGCTGAATTTGGAGTTAAGTCCTATAGATGTCAGTGGAAAGCTTTGGATGAACAAGCTGGAAGCAGCTAGCTAGGTAGCATATGGGATTTCTGCATGTTCAGATGTTGGCAAGATCCAACCACCAGACGTGCAAGACTAGAGACAGAAAAGGCAGGTAGAAGAAATAAGCATATAGGCTGGCATTGGGCTAGGGAACATTAGCTTACCAGATATTGTTCTTCTGAAGCTCCCTACATTCTTAGTCAGCACATCAGCTAGCGGTGAGGGGTGAGGGGAGTTGTAGTTCAACATCATTAGTACAACCACACATTCTACACTCATGAACTAGTGGCTTTCCTAGAGTTGCAGTTGATCTTAGAGTGCTATAATATGCAGCAACATGAGACTGGCTCTTGGGAGTAGGAGAATTTTGGTCTGTGGTGGCATCAGCCGAGCTCTAATAGGTTGTCATCCCTCCCCAATCAGTGGTAGTGCAGGGGGCATAGGCTGTCTTGAACTGTGCAGTATCTGACATTGGGAACAAATGGTACAACAAGAGCCAGGGGCTCCTTTATCATTCCCTACATTGTAGAGTCTGCAGGCAGTGGGGAAATAGAAAGGGCTGTGCAGAATAGAATTCTTTGGGATTTTTTAGTTCTCGCTGTTGTGAAAATATCTGCTTATGGGTTGGCAGCTTTTGCTGACAACTGTAGGAGAAGCTGAAGGATTGCATTCAGCTTTTGTGTTACTGACATATAATTGGGAACGGGAAATGATTATCTGTTCAACACTAGCATCTTAGCATCGACTTGATGGTTACAGAGTTACCCTTTTGAGGTACCCTGTTTGGCAGTTCTCAAACTTCAATTTTTTGTATATGGTGTTGGATACAGTGATGTACTATCTGCTCTGCTGTCCTGCATGAGCTTGCAGATATGCCTTTAGGTTATATCCACATTTTACACCAGCATCCATGCCAAAAGCTCTTGCCAGGAGCAGCTCATAACTTCAAGGTCCACTGTGATAGCAATGAAGGTTTCTTGCAGTATTTGGGGCCCTACGTATGTGGCATGCCAGACAATGGATTTAGTACATTCTGAGTGAGACAGTGGAGATTTTTGGGTTGAAAACATGCTGTCATGTCCCTTGTAGCAAGCAGAGAGCTTAGCCTGTTATTAAAGTTGTTTTTACTTACAATTGATATGTTTGTGGCTGTTTGTGCTATGTACCAGCTTCAGGTGATGATCTACCTGGAACTGCTGCTGGGAAAATTATGAACTTGTCAGCATTTTCTAATCCCTGAATGTGCTCTTTGTCAGGGTATGTCATGCTGTTTATGAAAAGCATTTGGAAACTTCAGTGACAAGGGAATGTATTCCAATTACAGTACCATAATGCCTTGGGGCACCTAGGTCTTTAACTAGTATTCTCTGTTATAAACACAGATCACAACAGTATTTAAAGCTCCTTACTTGTTCTTGTTGTTGTTTAATTGTTTAGTCATGTCCGACTCTTTGTGACCCCGTGGACCAGAGCACGCCAGGCCCTCCTGTCTTCCACTGCCTCCAGGAGTTGGGTCAAATTCATGTTGGTAGCTTCAATGACACTGTCCAATCATCTCATCCTCTGTCGTCCC